GTGGCCACATACCGGGGTGGCACTTTGGTCACATTGCTTAACTTCCATTTCCTTGTCTGTAAAAATGGAGATTAAAACACCTCTCTCAGGGCTGCCATGAGGACTTAGGTGGGTTTATGCACAGAAAGCAAATGCTCAATAAACGTTGACTTTTTGTTTCCCTTAATGGTAGAGCCCGTCCCTCCATCTTCCAGCCTGATTTTTGTTTAGGTAAATTCCCTGATAGATTGGGTGGAGGTTGGGGGAAGCAAGCTCCTTTCCTGGGGATGTTCAGGGAACCACCAGGCTTTGGTTTTGCCAACTGGGGTTTGTAAGTTGAAGACCAGAGGTGAATTGCTTGGGATCTGTCCACTGAAACAAACCTAAAAAAGCACAACGTGAGAGTTGTGAGTTAAGATTTATTGGGGGCAAAATGAAGACTATAGCCTGGGAGACAGTGTTTCAGATAGCCCTGAGAAACAGGCTCTCCAAGGGCTGGCAAGCTGGTTCTTTAAATAGGGTGAGGGTGGGGGCAGATTGGTGGGTTGGGCTGAAGGGGTGGCTTAGGTGATCTGCCCACCCCCTTGGTGGCGCAGTGTGCAGGGATCATGCACAGTGCCCTACTTTTGCTCTCCACAAAAGAGAAATGGCAGTTGGAAAAATGGAAGGAATGGAGAAATGGCAGTTGGTTTGTGGACTTTTTGTATCTTATTGTTCATAATTGCCCCGACTGCGACTGCACAGGCATGCTTGTGCGTGCAGTTATTTTTAGTGCCTTCTAGTTTCTTTGTATCTGTTGCTTGAGGAGATGTGTGTCCAGGTGCAAGCATTGCAGTAAAGGGTCCAGGTCTCAGGTCCCAGCCTGTCTCGCCGAAAGGAGCTGGAGACATTGCCTCCTAAACAGATCAGGGCTATGGGAGGAAGGGGCAGAACGAAGATCAGTTCAGTGTCAGCCTCAACTCCTGCAGCCATGTGGAGAAGAGAGACCATGGTGAAGTGGTCAAGAGTGCCCACGAGCTTGGGCTGAATCCCAGTGGCCACATACCGGGGTGGCACTTTGGTCACATTGCTTAACTTCCATTTCCTTGTCTGTAAAAATGGAGATTAAAACACCTCTCTCAGGGCTGCCATGAGGACTTAGGTGGGTTTATGCACAGAAAGCAAATGCTCAATAAACGTTGACTTTTTGTTTCCCTTAATGGTAGAGCCCGTCCCTCCATCTTCCAGCCTGATTTTTGTTTAGGTAAATTCCCTGATAGATTGGGTGGAGGTTGGGGGAAGCAAGCTCCTTTCCTGGGGATGTTCAGGGAACCACCAGGCTTTGGTTTTGCCAACTGGGGTTTGTAAGTTGAAGACCAGAGGTGAATTGCTTGGGATCTGTCCACTGAAACAAACCTAAAAAAGCACAACGTGAGAGTTGTGAGTTAAGATTTATTGGGGGCAAAATGAAGACTATAGCCTGGGAGACAGTGTTTCAGATAGCCCTGAGAAACAGCTCCAGAGAGGTAGGGGGGAAGGTCAGTATATATGTGATTTTGGTGAAGGGGGAGTACATGCAGTCAAGCACATATTTTTTGCAGAAGGTTTCTGCTAGTCTCGTGAAAGTTACTGCTAGTCACGAGGAGCAGACGTCACCATGAAGGATTTTAGTGCTTTTCTAGATGCGAGGAGATGCAAGATTGGGCTCATAAAATCATCTCCTGAAAATATCCAACTATCTGAAGACCTGTTCTGCCAGTTTTTCCCAGAGCACAGAGTGCTTCATTTCTGACCTCTACCCTGAACTCCTTTCAGGGGGTTTCGAAGGTCAGCAGCTGCAGTGGCTCATAATTTAATCCTTGTAGAGGTAGATGGCAAGTGCCAATCTGTAGGTGACAGATCTGAGGACCACGAGGTGTGTGGAAGAGGAAGAGAGAGAAAGAGAAGAGATGGAAAGCCGGTGACCAGAGAAAAATCTGAGGAAAACAAGAGTGCTATCTACTAGGAATCTTAATGGGGTTCTGACGCATGCCTGTCTGTGAGAGCGTCACAAGAATTTCACCTTGCTTGTTAATGTGGGGTGAATTTGGATGTGCTTGGGAGGACTCAAAACATGCTAAGTGCAGTTTCGAGATGGACAAAGGGTGAAGGCCCCCCAGAGCAAGCCCGCCACACCTGGGTTACATGTAGGAAGAAGACTGGTGTGAAATTCATCCAAACACTCGGAGTGAACAGTGGCCTCTGGTGCACGTGGATCAAGGTTATGTGTAATCTTAGGTTCCTTCTTCGTACTTGTTTGTATTTTCCAAAATTTCTACAATGATCAGGAATCTGTTCTGCAATCAGATACGAATTTTATTTTAAAAATTTTATTAAAAAAATTCTATAGAGAGGAATATAATTTTTAAAAGTTGTTTTAAGGTTGAACGTTAGCTCTATTTGTCAAATACCCTGCTTATCCAGCATCATTTTCTCTTTCTTTTCCCCCCTGCCTCTTTCTAACGGCTAATAATAGCAACAGATATGATTTACTGAGCATTGTACTGTGTATGTCCCAGACACGTGCTCAGTGCCTGACATGCATAATAATCCTACAAAGCTGTACTATTATAATTCCTATTTCAAAGATGAGGAAAGTTAGACTCAGAGAAGAATTTCTGGCACATGGCCCCTTTGAACTAGAGATATTTGGTGCCAATACTCTTGCTTCTAACATTACCTGTCGCTCTTTTGTTCTTTCATCATCTTTCCTTCTCTCATCTTTCAAAAAGTATCTATCAGGTACCTGTGTCAATTCTGTGGTTATAACCCAAGATTTCTCAACTTCATCATGATTGGCATTTTGAACCAGGTAGTTCTCTACTGAGGCGGGCTGCCCTGTGCATTGTAGGATGCTTTGGAACATCCCTGGACTCTACCCACTAGATGCCAGTAGCAATCCCCCCACATACCCAGCAGTAACAACAATTATGTCTCCAGATGTTGCCAAATGCCCCCAGGGACCAAAATCATCCTCTTTAAGAACCACTGATGGAGCCTCATCTCCACGCTAGATGTGGAAAAGGATTCTGGAGCACCTCCAGTTGAAGGATCACAGATAGGAACCCAGGGGAACAGCATGTACCCTTCTGGCAAAGCCCCCAAGCTCATTTGTGGCAGCTGCCACCTGCTAGGACATTCCAGGGCAGGGTTTGACAAGCGCTTGGAGTGCCTGCCCCTGGCAACAGGAGCAGGAGATGCAGGCTGAAACAAGACATTACTGCCACTCGTCCTGAAAGCTGGGATGCTGGGGGTCACACGGGCAGGGCAGGGGGCCCCAAGCTGGTCTGTGGATGGCACTTCTGAATGGAGATCAGGTTCTTGGCGAAGACGTCAAGGAAGGAGGCAGAAAGATCAGTGGATTCAGACAAATCGATTTCTGGTCCTGGTCCTGCCCCTACTTGCTGTGCAGACTCAGTTGAGCCTTTTGAGAATATTCCTGCTTTCCTCCATCTCTTCCGGGGACAGAAGGTTGATGTGTCCAAAGTGGTCCACTCCATCCCCTCACCTGCTTCACTCTTCTTCAGAGCATCTGACGTTCTGTTGTATTTGTGTTCACCCTCTGTCTCTCCTGATTAAATTTCAGCTCATGAGGGCAGGGTAGCTGTGCATCCCTGGAGCCTATGTCATTGGTGAACGTAGTAAGTGCTCATTAAAGACATGCAGAATGAAGGCACACACACACCCCATGGAGAAGCTATTTGGAAATACGTCTCAATGGCCATAGACATGTCATACCCTTTGTACTCAGTGGTTTTACTTCTGAAAATCAGTAGCCCCCACCCCAAATAATCCAACACGAAAGAAAAGCCTTTTCTTTTGTGGAAAGGTGAATCCATGTTCATCCTAAAGCGGCTAAAATAAACAACTCAAAAAGCCCACCTAAGTAATCAAGATAAAAGCATAGGGAATTCCCTGGGAGTCCAGTAGCACTTGGTGCTCTCACTGCTGGGGCCAAGGTTTGATCCCTGGTGAGGGAACTAAGATCCCACAGCCGTGCAGTGTGGCAAAAAATAAAAATAAAAATAAGGGCATAATTAAAACTGCTCTGATAAATCTACTTGGTGAAATTCCAGGCAGCCATTACAATTGTTGTTTACAGTAAGATGAGTTAATATTGCAACACACACACATGAAATACATGATGCAAAATTGTATATGCAACCCAATTGCTGAGATTATAGGGGTGAGCTTCCTTTCACACTGTTGGTGGGAATGTCATGCATGGTCCCTCTGAAGGACAGTTTGGAAATTCCTATTAAAATGTTCATGTCACTTAACCCTCCAACTGCACTTCTGGGAATTGACTTAGCTAGGAATTCCTTTATTTCTAGGAATCTATCCTAGAATATATCTGGAAATAAGTCTAATACCTATGAATGGGGAGGATGGTTAAATAAATCGCTGTATATCGATATAATGGAATACTATATAGTCATTAAAAATGAGATGTGCATATCCTGACATGGAAAGATGCCCAAGACATATCATTAAGTTAAAAAAAGCAAATTGCAAAACGTTTTTTGTGCATGAATGGTGGTGTCATCTTTGGTAGTATAAGCATAAACATTTTTTTCAATCTGGAGGAATATATAACAAACCACGGACAATGGTTTTCTCTAAAGGATAGAGCGAGACTTTCTGTCTATGCGGTGAATTTCTGTAATGTTTAAAAGCTTTTCACATAGCTGAAAAAGGAAAACACTGAACCCACAGCATGAAGTCTCTCACGTATGCCAACAAAAGCCAGGCATGGGAAGACTGGAAGGAACTCTATCAAGGTGTTATTAACTGTGATTGATCATTTCTAAGTCATGGGATAAAGGGCAGTTTGTTTTGTTGGTTTTTTTTACTTTTGGTGTAAAACTTCCAAAGAGCATGTGTGGGCTTTACAGAGGACAGAACTCCCCCATTAGCCCTCTTTGTTGAAACCAGGGTGGTGCTCAGGGTGTAGAATGTTCTGTTGATGTAACCTGCTGTTGTGCACTGTCCTCTTTCCCCAGGATGGATGACATCCAGCTCTGCAACGACATCATGGACTTGAAGCAGGAGCTGCAGAACTTGGTTGCCATCCCAGGTAACCATGGGGACCCCACCTCATGAACCAGATGCTCAGATCCCCCGTCTGGAAGGCCCTAATGCAGCCTCATTCTTGCAACGCAGTGCTTGCTCCCTGATCACGTGGTTCAGACTCTGCATCGGGCAGACCTGGGTTCAAGTCCTAATTCTGACCACCTCCTTGACCTTGGGCAAGTCACATTATCTGAGACTCAACTTCTCTTCCTCTGAAAATGGGGTAGGAATAGTAATAGTACCTAACTCGTTGGGTATAAATCTCACTGCGATAAATGAAACAACACAAACCACGTGCTTAGCTTGATAGATGGTCCAAAGAGTCCAGTAAATATTAGCAATGATTACTCTTATTATCCTGTTTGGGAACAGGTAGAGCATGGTGGTTACGAGCTCTGACTTTGGAGTCAAACATAGATCTGTCACTTATTAATGATGTGACCTTGGGCAAGTTACTTCACTATAACTCAGTTTCTTCATCTGTAAACTGGGACAATCATGCTGTCTACCTCAAAGGATTGTTGTGAGACTGACCGAGAGGTGACACATGTAAAGTACTTAACACAGTTCTCATCTTATAGTGAGTGCGTAATAAATAAGTGCCATTATTATTATTACTATTATTATTGTTACTATTATTATTATTATTATAATTAACCGAACACATTTCTACTCAGTGGTCAGGACTCAGAGCTTTCACTGCCATGGCCCCAGGTTCAATCCCTGGTCAGGGAACTAAGATCCTGCAAGCCCTGCCATGTGGCCAGAAAAAAATAGAACGAGGAGGGGGGGACATAGCCAAATCCAGACACTACCCACTAGAAACTTCCATTTGATTAGCGTGGGGCCCTGGCATTGGTCATGTTTACAAGCTTCTCACATGGTTGTGATGGGCAGTCAGGGCTGAGAGCCACTGGGTCAAGTCTTTCATTTTATACTCATCCGAGGGATCATTTAGTTGAAAGATACAAAAACCCATCGAAGCTTATGTAAACACAAAACAGGCAGTTACTGAAGGACTGCGGAGACTCCTGGAGCCTGTGGGCATTATCGTATTAGTTTGCTAGGGCTGCCCTGACAAGTTCCCACAAACTTAGTGTCTTAAAACAACAGAACTTTATTCTTTGAGAGAAGCCAGAAGTCCAAAATCAAAGTGTCAGCAGGACCATGCTCCCTCCAAAGGCTGGAATAGAGAATCCCTCTTTGCCTCTTCCAGCTTCTGGTGGTTCCCATCAGTCCTTGTTCCTTGGCTTGTAGCTGCCTTATTCCAGTCTTTGCCTCTGTCTTTGTGTGGCCTTCCTCTCTTTGTGATTCTCTGTGTGTCCTCTCCTCTTCTTATAAGGACACCAGTCATTGGATTAAGGGCTGACCCAGTGAGTATGACCTCATCTTAACTGATTGCATCCACAAAGACCCTATTCCCAAATAGCATATTTCCAAATGAAATTAGGGGTGGCAAGGACGTACTATTTACTCTCAAACAGGCAGGAAGCTCAGCCCAACTCACAAGGGTCAAGAACCAAAAATAGGAAAGCAGGAAAGCTGTGGAATGTTCTTTGGCCCTTGCTCTCTCTTTCTCTCTCCCTCTTTCTCTCTCGGTCTCTTTCTCTCTTACTCTCCATTTCGGAGCATGTTCTATTTTCTCCCTCTATAGCACATGAGCCAAGCAAGGCCACCTTGTTATCAAACCCAACTTGGGTCTGCTTGCCCGCAGGCTATAAAGCCAATATACTGACACCGGGTCGTGGTGAAGGAAAGTGCAGCGTTTATAGCAGCGCCAAACAAGGAGTCCAGGACAGCTAGTGCTCAAAACGCCTGAACTCCTCCATGGGTTTCAGCAAAGCATTTTTAAAGGCCAGGTGAGGGAGGGGCATCCCAGGGTATGTGATCAGCTCATGCACAATTCTCCGATTGGTGGATGGTGAGGCAACAGGGCGGTGTCACATGGTGGTGTGTGTGTGGGGGGTGTTAGCATTATGAATCCTCAGGCTCCAGGAGGCCTGGGGGCTATGTGCTCATCAAATAGTTAACATCTTCCATTTGGTGGGGGTTTTAGCATCTGTAAAACAACTCAGGAAGTGTGCATCAGATACTGTTATCTAGGGACTTCAGAGAAGAGCTACAGCAGAGGATGTGGGGGAGGGGTCTATCCCAGGAAGGCCCCACAGGGTGCAGCTCGGTTACAACCTCATCTCCCTTCTATGATTTTCCCATACAAGAGCCCAACTCTCAGGCCTCTGTGTCCCAATTTCCAGCTTCCCAGGGGTCTATGATGGGCCCAACATGGACTGACATCTCTCTCTTGAGAGGAAGGATTCCCAGAGCCCACTCTTGGCTCAGCAGGACACTTGGGTGCCACTGAGACAAAGGAGACATGAGTGTGTGGCCACCAGGCCAGCCAAGGCCTCCTCAGGCCACAGGGGCTCCACGGGGGGCCGTGGCAGCCTCTAGAGCATGGGTAGGAAATGGATGGGAAATGGCCGGGGGTGGGGGTCTTTGGCTGACACAGTGCCTGGGCTGCATGACTGACCAGGACTGGGACTAGGGTAGGAGAACAAGGCGCTCAGCTGGAACATGAAAAATTCAGTTATCATATTTTCATGCAATATTTAAAATACCAAAATTCATGCAAAAATATATACCAAAAGTTTAAATAAAGATGAGATCCGGGGCTTCCCTGGTGGCGCAGTGGTTGAGAGTCTGCCTGCCGATGCAGGGGACACGGGTTCGTGCCCCGGTCCAGGAAGATCCCACATGCCGCGGAGCGGCTGCGCCTGTGGGCCATGGCCGCTGAGCCTGCATGTCCGGAGCCCATGCTCTGCAACGGGAGAGGCCACAACAGTGAGAGGCCCGCGTACCGAAAAAAGAAAAAAAAAAGATGAGATCGGTACTGACACTCAATGGGCGGAAGCCAGGAATGCTAACCCTGCATGGAGGGGACAGTCCCCCTGAAGACCAAGTTCTACCTGAAATGCCATCAACTGTCCCGCTGTGAAACATACAAGGTCATAGGGCCACTTAGCAACAGAGCCCAGGTCCTCAACGGCAGCTCCATTGATTCTGCCGGAAAACTGCATCTTCCCAATCACTTCTGTGCAGAAATTCAGATATTAAAGTTCCCTTTCCTCTCCTGCCTTTCCTGCTCACCTCTCCCCACCTTCTCCTCTGACTCCTTGTTAAGATCCTTTCTGTGCATTCCTTGGGCCAGTGCCAGGTTTCTAGATGGGTTTAGCTGAGTTTAGGGGGAAAAAAATGATGCTCCTGGCAATTTATCAATAAAAATATTGAGTAAAGAGAGCACTGAATGGCCAAGAAAATCATGTTTCTCCAGCGAGGGTCAGAAAATAATTTACCAGGCTGTGATGAGAGAGAACACCTGGAGCCCTCCCTGCCTTCAGGGCTTCTCAAGAACAAGCCAAGATGCCTCACCTTACCTCCACTGCCACCATGGTCCCCTTAGGGCTGGGGATGCTTAGACCTGGCTGTAGAGGCCATGATACCCTCCCCTTGGACATAAAAATAGTGTCTCCCTCATAGGGTTGTTGGAAAGAATTAATAGTGGTTCTCAAGCAGGGGTGAGTTGGGCCTCCCAGGAGACATGGGCCATGTCTGGGGACAGGCTTGGTTGTCACAACTAAGAGAGGGGGCTGCTACCAGCATCTAGTGGGTAGAGACCAGGGATGACGCTCAACATCCTACAGTGCACAGGACAGCCCCCATGACAGAGAATGATCCAGTCTCAAATATCAATAGCACCAAGGCTGAGAAACCAGATTAAATAAAAATGTAAAGCTCACGGTAATACAAATACAACGATAATTGCTACAACTTATTAAGCACTTACATTTTGCACACTTATGCTATGCGACTTGCTTTCCCTTCATTAAATAAGTGTTTATTTCTTTTGTACCTCGTTTGGTAAATATTTAACCTAGAGGGCACTTAATCATTAAAACAACAGTGACTATGTAAAATAATAGCCTATAATAGTAGCAGCTGACTGTTCATGAACTCTTACTATCCACCAGGCTGTGAGCCTAGTGTTTTACTTGATTTCTCTCTCTTAAAACTTGCAACAACTTTATGATTATCTGTGTTGAGAAACTGGATGCTCAGAGAGGTTGAGGAATGTGCCCAGAGTCACACAGCTAGGAGGGGGAAGAGCTGGGGCATTAAGCCACGACTGTCTGATTCTATGGCAAGGGCTCACAGTTGTGATGGGGTCTGCAGGCCAGGGAAACCAGTTAGGAGGTCATGGCATGGTCCAGGGAGAGCTGATGGTGGCCTGGGCTAAGGAGATGTGCTGGAGGAGATAGATGAGAAGCAAGTTGGAGGGTCACATCGGCAAGCACGTGAAGATGCTAGGAATCAGGTGTGTGATGCCAGCAGGGGATAAAGTTGGCAAGTAGGTGGGTGATGATGGCCAAAAAAAGTGTGTCCCTAGATAGATGGGTGGTGCATGGAAGCAGGTGAGTGATGCTTGCGGACAGGTACATGATACCTGCAGGTAAGTGGGCGATGCCTACAGGTAGGTGGGTGGGGCCTGCAGGTAGGTAGGTGGGGCTTAAGGTAGGTAGGTAGTACCTGGAGACAGGCGGGTGGTACCTGGAGGTAGGTGAGGGATGCTTGCAGGCAGGTACGTGATACCTGCAGGTAAGTGGGTGATGCCTACAGGTAGGTGGGTGGGGCCTGAAAATAGGTAGGCGGGGCTTAAGGTAGGTAGGTAGTACCTGGAGACAGATGGGTGGTACCTGCCGGCAGGTGAGAGTTGCTGGCAGAAAGGGTATGTTACACGCAAAAGCAGGTGAACAGCATTGGCTGGTGGCATGGAGACTTAGGTCAGTAACTGGTTTGTAAGCTAGCACAGACCCCTTTGAGTAGGTGGCTTCTCCCGTGAGTTGCTGGGAGGGGCTGCATGAGCAGAGGGCTGCAGCTGAGTATCTGAGGAGGCTGGGGGATGCCTGAACTGGCAAGAGATAGAAAACGGGGATGAATAACTTGGGCAGGGAGGTTTGTGAGTTCCTGGGGGCCCTGCCAGTTGCTATGTGACTCTGGCTTAGATCTGGGGCCTGGCGGAGGACAGGGGAATATTGGAGGGCTGTCGCTGGTAACTTGGAGAGGACGGTGACATCACTCCCCAAGTCCAAGGGCGCTGTGGTTAACTCGCCTGCAGAGGGCAGGGAGGCTCTGTGGTACTGACGAGTGATTTGCAGAATCAGACTTCGGGACCCACCTCGAGAGGAATGATGCTACCATCGTCAACGCAGCGATGAGCAGGAATCCAGGGGCTGCTAGCAATTCCACTCCACTTCCTCACTCCCCTCTGATTAATGAAAGAAACGATTTTCTCTCTAATCCAAATATTATATTCTCCTTGCCTCTGGTTCTGCCCCCAGGTCTAGAGGAAATGGTCAGTGCCAGTTCCAGCAGGCAGATGGACAAGCTGCCCCATGATTTTTATCTTCTGAAAAAGTTTCTGCCCTCCTAGTTTTCTCAGCCCTCATGTCCAGCCCTCGTTCTTTTGTTTCCTCTATGGCGCTCTAGCCCTTGGTATTTGGAACAGGATTGGAAAGCATGGGTGCTTTCCTTCTGACAGATTGGTTGGGCCTCACTATAGAGTAATTCCCTCCTGCCCCCGGCCTTCTGCATGACCCCCTTGCAACAGCATCATCATTTACCGAGCACACACCACAGGCCAGCTCTATGCAAAGTCATTTATTATCATCACCACAGTCTCACATTCAAGCCTCACTGTGTATTTTACAGAGGAGGAAACAGAAGCTTGAAGAGGTCAAGTTGCTTCTCCAAGTTCATCCAGCAAGTTAAATGGTAGAGCCAGGATTCCAACCCTGACCCCTCGGACTCAAGTGCTTTCAACAGCTACACTCAAACTGTCTTTGCTAATGTTGTATTCTTCCCAGAAAAAGAAAAAAACAAGTTGCAGAAGCAGAGAGAGGACGAGCTAATCCAGAAGATTCACAAACTGGTGCAGAAGAGAGACTTCCTGGTGGACGATGCAGAGGTTGAGCGGCTAAGGTAAGTGGGCGGTATGTCCCCTGAGCAGAGGGCTGGGGCTGTTAGAACACAACTCAGTTTCCTTCCAAAACCCATCACCTGCTCCCAGGACTCACAGCTTTGCAACAGGCATGGCCTGGGCAAACGCTCCCCAAACACTGGATCCAGATGAATCCTGGCCTTCTGGCCTGAGGACCCACTTCACATTCAAGAGAAACTCAAATCCAGCTCCAAAATGTTTTGTAAAGGCCTGTAGATCTTAAGTGAATGTTATTTGAGGAGGTAACCAGGGAGGAATTACATCACATAACACATGGCAGAGCTTCCTGCACATTCTTTTCACTGAGCTTTCTCCCAGCTCATCAAGGCAGCTTTTCCAGAAACTTGGATTGGTTTCTACAGAAACTCTGCCCCCTGTACTGACTTGCTTCCTTGCCTGCCCACTTCCCAGCTTTGTTCTTTCCCTTCCCCTCTCCTGGATGGCTCTGATGCCCCTTCCTAGCCTTCAGGGTCTCCTATTTGCAGATGCACCTGCCACCTGGATCTGGACAACCATGGGCCCTGGAGCCATGGTGCACCTGAAGGCTCCCCAGGGAGTCAGGGCACGGGAAAGATGTGAATGTTGATTCTTGAATGTTTTTGTGCTGGAGCAAGGCCTTTGGAGTTGTCCACAGGGGAGAGGCTCAGAGGGCCTCTTCCAAACCAGAGGGCAACTTCCTTTTAATTCTCTGTGTCCTCCTGAGTCCTCTGAGGCCCCTAGGATGCACCTTGCCCAACTCAACCAGGCTTGGATTGTTGACTTTGCTCCTGGTGACCCTTGGAAGAGCTGAGGTGACTTGCCCTCTGAGACCTGCCATGTACCTTGTCTAGGGTAACATAAAAGTGCAGGGTCAGGAGAGGGGCTTCCCAGCTCACTAAACCTCCATCAGGGAGGCTGGGTCCTGTAACATACCTGCCGCTCCCCTGGGGTCTCACACTAGTGGGAGTAGCCATTTACTCCATCATTGATATGTGTCTCTGCTTCAGAGTAGATTCATCAAACAAAACACACACACGCTATACACACATAACAACATATGCACACCACCCACACACAGCACACAACACACACGTACCACCCACACATAACACACAACACACATGTACAATCCACACATAACACACACCAACATACAGGTACCACCCACACATAACACACCAACACACATGTACCAACAACACACACCAACATGCATGCACTACCCACACATAACACACAGCAACATGCATGGACCACCCACACAACACACATCAACATACATGCACCACCACACATAACACACAGCAATACACATGCACCATCCACAAAGTCTGATACATGATCCCACACTCTTGCCTCATTTCATCAGTTCCTTGATGCTCTCTTAGCTTACTGTACTTTCTTCTTGTCTTTACACATCTGTCTACACAGGGAGCAAGAAGAAGACAAGGAAATGGCCGATTTTCTGAGAATCAAGTTAAAACCTCTAGACAAAGTAACCAAATCTCCAGCCAGTGAGTGCATACGTTATTCCTTCTCCTCCCCCCATCCAAGAGAAAAGGAAATTTAAAAGAAATCTTGAAGCCAAGGGGGGCACAACAAAATGATTTCTCCAGATCAAACTTGAGCCCAGGATGGCAGCAGGCAGGGCCAGCTTCATGGGTGAGAAACCTGTGCAGTTTCCCAGGGCCTAGAAGGGCACTATGCTTGCTTTAGTGCCCTGCTATTGCTCATGCCTAGAAGGGCACTATGCTTGCTTTAGTGCCCTGCTATTGCTCATGCCTAGAAGGGCACTATGCTTGCTTTAGTGCCCTGCTATTGCTGTCTTGGAATTCTTAAGAATTTTCGAACAGGGGGCCCTGCATTTTCATTTTGCACTGGGTTCTGCAAACTATGCAGCTAGTTCTGGCAGCAGCTGTCACTCTCTAATCATATGGTGTGGTGCACTTCATTGAAGGTGTTGGGTGGCCACTGAGGCAAGAAGGTGAGGACTGAGGGCCATGGAGCTGTGGCCTCTGTTGGAGCTGGAGTCGCTGGAGGAATGGAGCCAGAAGTTTACTTCTCAGAATATTAGCCTCACAAGATACTCAGAGCGAAAAGGGTTCTGTGTGAAATAAGTTTGGGAGATGCTGTGTATTTGACCCTCTCTTTGTAGGCTTCCAATATCCATTAGCATATTAAAGTGATAATGGGTCCTGCTGTCTAGGAACTACCTTCTCGTTGTTGGCCCAATGAGACCACACTTTGAGTTATAAGAAATGGATGCCCAATTCAAACTGGCCCTAGCAAAAAAGAGGATTTGCTGGAAAAAGAGCAATGGGAACCAGGGCTTCAGGGACTGGACACTGTTAGAACCCTTGCTTTCCTTCTATTTATCATCTTGGCACCTCTTTGCATGTTAGCTTCATTTTCTCCTACTACACAGGCCTTCTCCCTGGGGCCAGAACTCTAGAACCATAACTTAGTAGCAGCAAGGCAACACCAGTGATTCTCTCCTGGTATCTAAATATATAAGATTCTGATTGGCCTTTCTTGGATCGTGTTCCCACTTCCTAGGCCCATCACTCTCACCAAGAGGCTCAGACGTTGTGATTGGCTAGATCTGTGTCACATGCCCACTCCTGTAGCCACAGAGACATGAGCTATTATCAGAAGAAAAGGGACAGAAAATCTTGCTAGGAAAACACAGCCCCAAAGCTGCCACTATCAACTGAAGCAGCAAACCCAGTTTTCCCTGACCATCCATTAACATCCCATGAAAATACTATAGTACAGTGTGAAGGAATAAAGAAAGAGAAGGGCCCTGGTCCCTTCTGCAGGCCCCTAAAATCATAAGTCACATGGTCCCTGCCTAAATCCAGCATCCTCAATGGACTGTCTCTTCCATGAAAGGCAAACTAGAAAAACTCCACCGAACACTGTGGAGAAGGAGCAAGGAAACCTGCCTTCTATGTAAGATTATGGATAGAAAAAAGAATTCTGGCAAGAAATCAAAACACCAAGCCTGCACCACATGCAAGAGGCCCAGTGTGGGGTCCAAATATACACCACCCATCTGGTGCTGGAATCCCAAGTTGAAACATTAAAATTAATCCAAAACCAGTGAAGTCTCTGGGACCCCAGCAAAGCAAATGCAAAATTGCTCAGCAGAGTCCCTTCAGCTCTCATAATACACAGCCCACACATTAAAAACAACCCCCATGAAGATGATCTCTCAATAAAAATTTTAAAACCAATGAAGAATTGAACCACCACGAGAGGAGTCAGTAGATGCAACAAAGAGGATGTCTGTCCTCCCATGAACCAGAACTAACAGACTATCTAAAGTATATTTAAAATGATTAAAGAGATATGAGAAGGAATAATACCCAAAATGAAATAGCAAGATGCTGTGAAAAAAGAATAGGTAGATTAGCAAACAGTTAGCCTTCTAAAAAAAATTATTGTCACTGAAGTGAAAACTCAGTGGGTTAAACACAGAGACATAGCTGAAGGGAGGATTCATATAACTGGAAGACAGAGCTGAGGAAATTACCCAGAATGCAGCACCAAGAGACAAAGAGATAGGAAATATGAAAAAGAAGTTATGAAACATGGAGGTTAGACTAATAAGGTCCAACTTAAATTTAATAGACATCCCAAAAGGAGAGAGAACAGAGAATGACAGGTGAGGGTATCTGAAGAGAGAATGTATATTTTCCAGAATTGAAAGATATGAGCCCTCAGATTAAAGTGACTTAAACAAAATTTCTGTCATCCACTCACCAAATACTTCTTGAATGCCAGACTCTGTGCTGGGGTTGGCAGATATAATGGTGAGGAGAACAGAATAGGAGAAGGGCTAAAAGCTATAGTTGTAAGCCAAGGACTGAAAGCCAGTGGGCCTACAGGGAGGAGGGAACAGTCACCAGGACCATATAAAATGCATGCCAGCTCTCCACACCATCTGATCTGTGACATTGAAGCAAGGCCTGGCAAGGGTTGGGATGGAACTGGGACTGCAGATGATCAGGGCTCTCCTCACCTCACCTCTCTCTCTCTCCTGTTTCCCCTCTCTGCCTCTGCTCTCCTACCTTGCTGCAGGCTCCCGAGCAGAAAAGAAAGCAGAGCCCCCACCTAGCAAGCCCACGGTAGCCAAGACGGGGCTGGCGCTCATCAAGGATTGCTGCGGGGCCACCCAGTGCAATATCATGTAGGCCCCACATGGGGTGCCCCCGGGGCCACGGGGAACCCCCTCCCACCCTCTTGTCTTCATAGCCCCCATTTCACCGGGGCCCAAGAGCTCTCCAAGGCGGAAGGGATTGAAGGCAAGCCCATGACTGCCACCAGGGGCCGTGGGTGCGGCGGGCGGGCCCGGCCGCCCTGTACAGAGTGTAGCAATAGGGAGTCCCTCACCGTCGCATGGCCCTCCCCAGAGCATGCCGAACCCAGGAGTCTGTCTCACTGTTTATCCAACCACCAGGAAAGGTCCTCCCTCGAAAAAGTATATCTCCACTTCTATCTAGCTGTATCTAACCCACCGTGGGAATGAACTGGGAGGGGGCATGATCCCCAGGTGTGTATAGTCGTGACTTTTCAACAATCTAGCACCATGTTGGACACATCCCCCATCCACGCTCCTAGTTCTGCTGTCAGGCTGCCCCAAACGGCTCCACCCCCGATCTGTCCTCTACCAGGGGCTGTGCCCTGGAGGGCTCCACACAGCCCACGTGTCTGGAGACACAGAGGGCCCATCTGTAAAGACTGAGCTTGTGTGTGGTGTCGTGGTCATGTCTCCCGCTTCCTCCCCTCCTGTGTCTGGGCACGGCTTGTATCTGGAGTGTGTTCGTTCGATCTTGGCTCTTCCTTCCCTTGCAACGTCTGTCCCAGGTGTGTGGAGCAGAGTGGGGATGGGGCCCCGGCTGGAGCACACCTAGTACTTGGGAGAGGTAGCAGAGAGCTGGGAGCTCCAACACGAGGCAAGGGCAGATGAGAAGGGACCCAGAGCAGATGCTGACCCAGGCACTCTCCACCCATGGGGGCCACCGGATGGACGGAGTGCCAGCAGGACGCCACTCACCAGCCTAACACACAGACCTCTGCAAACAACAATGGCAGGCAGGAGAGGCGGCCTGACCCAACCGTGTCCCATCATTCAGTGGTGTATTTTAACCAGACTAGCAATTCCACCTGTGTAACTTGATGTACATTTGCTACAGCCAGCCCGGCACAGCCCATGTGACCTCTCTGTACGTGTGTGTTTCGTGTCCGGCCTAAGTAGTTAGCATAACTCAAGATTTGCTGATGTGCAATCATCCGTCAGAGAAAATAAAATTGGAAACCACGTACACAGCATTTTTAAAGTTTTTACTTTTTTCTTGACTATAGAAGTAACCCGTGTACATAGTTAATCATTTAAAAAGTACAGAAAGTATAAAGCAGTGTTTTTGTTTTTTTAACTCCCATCATTCCTCCAGCCACTCTGACATTTTGGCATATTTCCTCTCTTTTTGTATGATTTTTTTTTCATGATTGGCATCCTATTGTACCATTCTATAACAGTTTTCTTTTTCCACTTATCATAGTATCACTATCATTCTGCCACATCATTAAAAGCTCTTTGTAAACATTAAACACTCTTCATTAATATTTACAATGGCTGCCTAGTAATCCATCTTGTGGATATACAGTAATTTATCTAACCAGTCCCTCAGTGTTGGACAATTAAGCTGTTTCTAGTTTTTCAGTATTATAAGTAATGTCAGGATAAACGTCTGGGGGGATAAAGCTTCATCTGAATTTCTGATTTTTCCTTAAGACAAACTCCTAGAAGTAAGGTTCTAATTTAAATGGGTCACATTTTTAAAAAAAAATTGTAAATCAAAAGTTAACCTGAAGGTCTCTCTAGTCACAGCAGCTTTGGAGTTGACACAAAATACCTCTGAGTTTGATGGCCCCTCCTAGTGGGCAGTGCACCATCAGCCCCTCCCACTCTGTCACTGATGTGCTTCTGCTTCAGTCCAAGCTTCGGCCCACACAACACTTCCTGCCATTATGAAGCTGAAGAGGCTCCTTCAGGCCACTGCCAGGGCCACCATCTGGCCTCAGAGGGCACCGCCCTAGACCAAGCATGAAGCCAGGCTGCATGAGCTTCCTAGGGCTTCTGTAACATATTCCCTCAACCAGCGTACTTTAAACAACAGAAATTGATCCTCTCACAGTTCTGGAGGCTAGAAGTCAGTGTCCTCAGGGCAGTGCTCCCCCTGAAGGCTCTAGGGAAGAATGCTTCCTTGCCTCTTCCAGCTCCTGGCGGCCCCTGGCAATCCTTTATTGCACCAATCTCTACCTCCATCTTCACGTGGTCTCCTCTGTCTGTGTCTCTGGTCCTCTCTTTTTATAAGGACACCAGTCATTGGATTTAGGGCCCACCCTAAATCTGGGATGACAGATCTTGATTCTTACTGTAACAACTTCTGCAAAGACCCTATTTGCAAATAAGGTCACATTCTGAGATGGCAAGTAGACATGAATTTGGGGGAAGGAGTGGTGCAGAAAATTCGGCCTCTAGGCACTGGTGCTGAATCAAATCTCAGAGAGAGAGTTTTAGGTAAAGTAGAAAAGAATAGCTTTATTGCTTTGCCAGGCAAAGGGGGATGCAGTGGGCTCCTGCCCTCAAAAACTGTGTCACAACCCAGGAGAATTTGGTAAGGAGTTTTATAGCAATGGTTTAGGGTAGGGTTGCTGATAAAATTAGGGTGTGTGCAGGGCCTGCACTCCTTTAATCTGGTCTCAGGTAATCTCTTGATGAGCTTCTCTGGTTCCTTTAATCTGGCCTCAGGTGGTCTTCTCTGGAATAAAGAATGACAACATCTTCCATTTATTGGGGGTTTTAGTTCTGTAAAGAGCTCAAAGATATTTTTATGTGTATCCCTTGAGGCAGAACCAGGACCCTTCCCCAAGGCTGCACTATAGTTTCTTCACTGCTCCTACCCTGTCTCTGCGTCCCCTCCCTTCCCTGATTAGCAACTGTTCAAATCTGCCCTTTAGAACTCAGGGAAGGTCATGGAGGCTGGGGTTTATTCCCTACAAACAAGAAACAGGAGAGAGAAAGGCTTCCATGCCCAGGAGCCCCATGGGGTCCTGCTCGGTTTCAGGGTGACACTATTTAACCTGGCTATGCAGATTCTTCCCACTCTTGAAATAAAAACTCAGGCTGCAAAGGGCCCGCCACACTCCCTTCCTGGTGGAGAACGTGTGTCTGGAAGGCCTGACCTTAGACCAATTAGACAGCAGTCACTGCTCCAACAAGCTAAAAAAAATCAAAACCCTCATAAAAATCCTGCCTCTAGTATACCTACTGAGCTCTGGGGAACATCGTAACTTATGGTCCTACCATTCCTATTGATTTTTTTTTTTTTTTTTTCTTTGCGGTACGCGGGCCTCTCACTGTTGTGGCCTCTCCCGTTGCGGAGCACAGGCTCCAGACGCGCAGGCCCAGCGGCCATGGCCCACGGGCCCAGCCGCTCCGCGGCACGCGGGACCCTCCCAGACCGGGGCACGAACCTGCGCCCCCTGCACCGGCAGGCGGACTCCCAACCACTGCGCCACCAGGGAAGCCCCCTATTGATTTTTTTAAAGCCAATAAACCACCATTTATTGAGGTTTCCACAGAAGAGCAGAAGAAAGTAATTATTCAAGATGCTTCCAGATCACCAGGGCTGCCTGCAAAGCTAGGAAACCTTGCAGGCCTCGGGGTCCCACACCCCCAGACTTACTCCTTTTGGAAGTTGGTTGGGAGGGGACATGATGATAACTGGAGAAACATTTATTGAAAGCCTATCGCTGTCCACTGAACATGTACGCACATTTTCTTTTCTGTTCTTCACATCAACCCCACAAGGCAGATCCTATTACTGGTACCCGAAAACTGGGTTTGCCTCTTGGTGGGTGTTGAGCCAATAGACACAACCAAGCCAAAGATCAGGGGAAGGAAGGATTTATTATTACTTGCAGCAAGTGAGAATATCAGGGATCTTTCCCAAAGCAGTGCCTCCCCAACAGCAAAATTGGGGAGGTTTTAAGCTAAAGGTACATGCATATTCATGAAGGGGCTTGAGCAGAGGAGAATTCAGCATAGAATTGGGCCCAAGGTCGACAAGAGTCCAAGCCTTAGTTGACTGAAGTCAGGAGGGTCAACCTCATCATTCCATCCTCCACCTGGGTGGGGTCCTTAGTTCCTGCAGAACTCAAGCACTGTATCAGATCGTGATGTATAGCCCTTGATGTGGCACTAGGACTCCGCTTTATCACTGCACTATTGTTTGACTGCCTTTTCTCTGTTCCTGTCTTCTTTTGTCCCCATAAGATCATTGATTACTGGGACCTGTTCAAGGGCAAGAATCGTGGCCAGGCTTAGATCACCAAATGGCTTAGGCCAAAATGGGTTCTCTTATGTCAAGAAAGCCATGCCTGGTTCTCTTTCTCTGGGGACTCCCTAGCCCTATCTTCTTCCTTTATTACTTCCACTCTGTAGATGAGGAAGTGGTCCAAGGTGCCATGGGCAGTTAGTGGTGGGATGGCCATTCATTCTCCCCCACCCCTGGCCCCCTCCTGTAGCCTCAACTGTCCTTCCTCTCCCCATCAGTGTTTAAGCAAATCCCTCCCACTAACAAACAACCCTCTATTCCTTCTTCCCTTGAGGCTCCTGAAACTACACACCTGGTCTCAGATTGGGACACGAACCCAATCGCACCTTAGATGGGATTCAAATCCAGCCAAAGCTCAGATTGGGACTTGAATCCGTGGGCTGGGACTCAAACCCACTGTCTTTTAGTTAGAATCACTCACCTGGTGTCAGGACTTACTGAAGCTCAGGTTCTTTATGTCTCAGCGCAGAAGGAATTCAGCAAGAGGCAAAGTGATAGGCAAGAAGCAGATTTATTCACATAGGATGCCTGTGAGGGATACAAGCAGGTAGTTCTGCCCTGAGAACTAAGTGGGAAAGCTGGTTTATTTAGGGAGATACACACTCCATAGACAGAGTGTGGGCCACCTCAGAAGGCGACAGGCCCCAAAATATGGGGTGGTTAGTTTTTATGGGGTGGGTAATTTCATAGGCTAATAAGTGAGAGGATTATTCCAATGATTTCGGGGGAAAGGGACAGGGTTTTCCAGGAATTGGGCCACCACCCACTTTTTGGCCTTTTATGGTTGGCCTTGGAACTGTCATGGTGCCTGTGGGTGTGTCATTTATCATACGCTAATGTAATGAGCATCCAATGAGGCTCAAGGTCCACTGGAAGTCAAATCTTCTGCCATCATGGGCCTAATTGGTTCTAACCAGTTTATGTTGTATTCTCATTGGCCCTGTCATTCTTTTAAAGGTTGTGCCATGCCCCCTTCCCTCTGTCTCAGTCTCATCCCCCCTGCTTGCTTGGATCCCTCTTTGAACTGGGGCTGCAGAAAGCTTCTTTGGGTTTTTGGTTCTTCTGGCCATGCTCTCTGTTGGCACCTCTCCTGGACCTTCACACGTTATTCTTGTGCCAAGAACTTCTTAGATTCCCTGCCAGCCTTTCTCTGATCTACCTGTGCACCACTTTGAAGCCAAAATGGCCTCCTTAAAGTGCAAATCTATCCAGGTGTGTTGCTTCCCAGTTTAAAACTCTCCTGCACCTTCCCCTCCATCCTTGTAGTCTTGGGGCTTGGACCTGGTTTTCAAAGCCTTACTCAATCTAGCCCCTGCGTGTCTCTCCCACCTCCTTCCTCACTGCTCCTCCAGCTTCAGACCCTTGATCACACCAACGTTTAAGGGAACAGACTGAGTAGGAGCAGCTGGGAAGGAAGAAGGAACA